CCTTTCTCTGGATATATTCCGGCCCCGCCTGGCCGCGGTGCTGTGCAGCCTGCTCTAGGTAACCGTGCTTTGGCAGGGGGTTGGACTGGGTGATCTCCAGAGGTCCCTTCCAACCCCGGCCATTCTGGGATTCTGTGAAATGGGTGTAAATAAGACAGGAGGTCTGCTGCCATGTCAGGTCCTGGAAGTGTCCCAAGGCGGCGTCCACCTCCTCTGGTTTCCCTGGCAAGGAAAAGTCACTCTGTATTTCAGGCTCACTCGCAGATATTAGGATCTGCTCGCCACCGCTGAAGGACCAGGGTGGATTTCAGCACTTCCATCAGAAGTTGCACAAAAACTGTGCTGAAGTAAACCAAATTTCAAAGCGAGTGTGAAATTGGCCTCGAGGGCGTGGGAAATGGGTCATTAGGTGCATGTGAGGGTTGGTGTCTCAAGCAAAGGGTGCCTGCAGAGACACGGCTGTATGAGGGTCCCTGCTCCGGTGGCTGTCCCAAGGCCCAAGGGACGCGTGTCCACCACCATCAGCAATGGCCACCATTGCTCTCACTGCCCCCCTTGCAGCAATGCACGCATTAGGATGGGAGGAGGTGTGGTTTGTTCTCCTAAAATCCACCTAAAATGAAAAATAAAGACAGTTGGCGCCCGTTCAGAGCTGGAGTGACCAGCCTGGGCCTTCCCGGGGATTGCTCTGCAGGCAGAAATGAACAGAAAGCCAAAAAAGCCATCCCAAAACAAACAACAAGTGCTCATGCCACAGTTATCTGTAGGGATGTAAGGGATAAATATTTCTGTTCTCATCACCCTTCATCTGCTCAGAAGCCCAGAAGAGCACTGGGACGCTGACAACCACCTGGCAAGGGGCCTTCAAGTCTCTGTTTCTCCAGTGGCTCACCACCCGCCCATGTATTTCACAGAAACAGGACTGCAAATACGTGAAGTGTTAAATCCACCTAATTACTGCCATTATAAATGACCTTTTTCAAGCCACCTTTAACTGCCTTTGACAAGTGGGGCTTTCAAAATGGCCGAGCAGCGAGCTGGGTTTGGCCCCGACTGGGTTTCAGTTCGCAATTCCTCAAAAAAGGAACAAACCGAAAGGGAATTGATCCAAGACCTTCTCGGACCAGCCCCAAAGTCACCCATGGAAGAGGACAAGTCACGGTTAGAAGACGGCAGGGACAAGTCTTCCGCACCAGGTCTCAGCCCGCTTCACCTGCTGCTCCTCGAGGAGCTGCCCGCCTCTCCTCTTCGAGGGTGCTGGAGCTGCCGTCTGCACGATACTGAGTTTGCGGCACTAAAAGTTCAACCAAAACACTCCGGTCGAGCAAGGTCTGCCTTCCCCGCAGCGTGGGAAAGGCGCGAGAGCACCGGCAGTGACTCATTTTCCTGGAAAAAGCATGGCTATTGTTTGGAAAGCAGCGAGGAAGCACCAAGGAGAAACAAGAAAAAAAAAAAAATCAGCGATCACTGCTCCTCTAGCTGAAATGAGAGCCTGGCCCAAAAAATCGCATTCCCAGAGAATTCAGGGATTTCCAAAGTGCACATTTTCTACGTCTTTGCTTCGCAGACTGAAAATGATGGGGCTGAGGAGGGGGGGTGAAGACCATGCAGGACACATTGATGAGCGCGGGGCGATACGCAGCGCAGGTGGATAACAGCGGTGCAGCCGTAACGTGTCACCACTACGGTGACGTGGCAGGCACAGGCGGAGAGGGTGTCGTGCCTCCCCGAGAAGATCTGTGGGATGCGGCCAAGGACGAAGGCGTAGGAGAGAAGGATGAGCAGAAAGCAACCCAACAAGGCAGTCATGCAAAGAACGTCGACCATGGTGGCAACCATCTTGCCATCAGCAGAAGTCAGCCAGAGGAGGGAGGGTCACGCGGCAGAAGAAACGGTCGAGCTGGTGGGACTGGCCAAGGATGAAGGTGTAGGAGAGGATGAGCAGAAAGCAACCCAACAAGGCAGCCACGCAAAGGACGTCGACCATGGTGGCAACCATCTTGCCACCAGCACAATCCAGCTGGAGCAGGGGGAGCCACGCTGCAGAAGTAGAGGTTGAACTGGTGGGAGCAGCCAAGCATGAAGGTACAGGAGAGAAGGATGAGCAGAAAGCAACCCAACAAGGCAACCCCGCAAAGGACATCAACCTTGGCAGCAACCATCTCACCACCAGCACAAGCCAGCCGGAGCAGGGGGAGCCACGTGGCAGAAGAAACGGTGAAGCTGGTGGGACTGGCAGAAGACCACCACCAGCGCCAGGAGACCCCCCGCAACCACCAGCCAGACACAGACGCAGAACGTCACGAGGGTGTTGTAATGTGAGGGGAAGCAGATGGCCACGCACCGCTCGCACCCGGTCACTGTCAGGAGGAAAGAGCGCGGGAAGCCAGGCGTGAAGGAGAAACGCATTTGTGCGGCACAGCCGTCTCGTTTCGAGGACTTTCGGGCAGATTAATTGTTGTTGAACAGCAGCCAGCGTTCCTGACAAGGAACATCTCCCGGCTGCAGACCTGCTCAGCCGAGGACGCTGAACTGCTCCCCACCAGAAGACCAAGCCCTTGGTACCTTCAACCGAGGACACACTGGAGCCACGGGACCTTGAGAAGGACGGTTACTTAGGACGATTTACAATGCTGCAAACGTGGCAGCAGAACTGAGAATTCACGTGCCCTCAGCTGAAGTACTCTCACTGTAATATCAAACTTCACATGCCCTGAGCTGGAGACCCCGGCCCAAGTGAAGAACCTTCCTCATGGAGCGTGCCCAGTGACTTTTAGGAGGGAACTGACCCGTCCGTGTTGGGAGGGTACGGCTACAAGGCGGCTCTGACGTTTTTCACTCCATAAACACGCGATGGGATTGCAGGCGAGTGCGCAGCCGCCACCAGACGACCCCGACCGCCCGCAGAGACCGTCGCTGGATCCAAGGGTGCTGGTATCTTTTATCTTTCCGTTTATTTTCCTTTCTTTCCCCATCTCTGACTTTCTAGGCACATAAGGGCAATGTTAGTGGACGCTTGTCGATCTGCTGTATTTTATAATTTTGTAAAATCAGACATGACGTTGTTATAAGCTTTGCCAGGTCAATGCCCGTTCTAACCCCATCGCGCTAAAAGGAACGTTCAGAAGTTGCCAAGTTGCCGCCTTTCGTATTCACACCGAGTTCCAAGCGACGCTTTGTTTTTAATCAAGCCTCCCGGGTCGTTGTTGTGACTCCTGGGCACCGCGCGGAGAATCGGAAAAGACCACCGCCCCTCACCCACTGGGTGGGACGGGACAACAGCCCAGGGAGGAGACGGCTCGAGTTCCCGGCACCAACCCTGCCGGCATCCTCGGGGCGATGTAGAAGATGTAGCAGAGCTCCGAGAAGGACATGGCACCGAGGAAGAGCCACGTGGGCATGCGCAGCCCCCCATCCCCCCAGATAATGACCGTTATCGCTGCGTTTCCAGCCCGGGGTCGTCACACGTGTGAGGAGAAACAGCACAAACAACGCAACCTGGAGCTGGGGAAGGGGGAAAAGGCGGTCGAAGCGAACCCTCTCGGGGTGGTTTGGTTGTCCCTTCGCGTCTGTGCTTTGTCGGGGGAGAGCATAACTTTTTAACCGGCGGCTCGGCCTCCTGTGGAGGAAACAGCACGAAACACTGGAATAAATTGCCCAGAGAGGTAGTGGAGGCCCCATCCCTGGAAACATTCAAGGACAGGTTGCATGGAGCTCTGAGCAACCTGATCCCATTGGAAGATGTCCCTGCTCATGGCAGGAGGGTTGGAACTGGATGATCTTTGAGGTCCTTTCCAACCCTTACCATTCTATGATTCTATGATTCGATGACACAAGACTGAAATTCTTGCTTTGAATCTACCTCCCACAAGAAATAACATGGAAACGGATGCGCACATCTGACATCTACCAAAGCTTTTCTTCGCCCAGCTGGATCTCACGTACGTTCAGAGCTTCTCTCATGGCACAGCTGAGAAGAACTCGGTAATGTCACTAATTTCCATCAAACTCTGATGCTCAACGGCCACGCCAAGAACAGCAGAGAATCCCAGAATCACTGGCAAAGACCCTGAAGATCATCGAGTCCAACCAGAAGCCCAACGGTGCCAAGTCCACCACTAAACCACGTCCCTCAGCGCCAGCTCCACAGATCTTTCAAACACCTCCATGGTCAGCAGCAGCCAAACCCTGGTGTCTCTGTCGTGGTTGC